ACAATGTTAAGTGAGCCGGAGTTCAGAGTTACACCTGGAAATACGGGTGATCGCGTGCTGCGTATCCTGCATATCTTCACAGATCAGCAAATTAGTTTTTAAACATATATATTTTATAAACTTGACAGCCACGCTTGCCAGCAATGTGACCTAACACCTGTTAATTTCAGGGGGTCCGCAACGGTTGAGTTGTCGTGATGATCTAGCAACTCTTAACTAGCTGGTGTTTAAAAGAGGACGGTCCTAAAAAGGTATGCTAAGACTCACACATACAATATAACCGGAGGCAATGAAATACAACATAATTTAGTTTCGGGCTAAGCTTGATGTGTAGTTATGGAAATAATTCCTCTCTCCGCTCGGATAAAAATTAATCATTATTCAATTAATAGCTTCTTATTGTTTGTTTGTTTTTGGACCCGAAATCTTTTTACAAATTGTTTTTGACTCGTTTTACAACTGTTTTAAAACCGAGCTCTTTGTTTGTTTACATGGTTCCCAAGTGAACTTGCGACTCACTGACAATTATGTAGCAAGAAATCTGCTAAATTGTGCTACAATAGCGAGACTCAATTACAAACTAGTTTTATTCCTGCTCAGGTTTCAGGAGTAGTTCATTCCCATAAAGTGAGCTAAAAATTAAGGAGCAGGATTTAGAATTGTTACACTTTCAATATTAAAACTGGTCTAATGTTGGCTACAAGTTGGTCACAGTTACACGCATTCAGATAATTTATGCTTTTAAAAGTAATGAGCATTTAATTAAGATGTTCTTAATTTCATCCGTTATTTCTGGAATAATTTTTTCCGAAAAAGGCTGGTATTGAGGTTTATAATATATAGCGTTACAAATTGCAATATCCAACATATTGCTGGTTCAATAAAACATGTTAATTTGTCACTCGTCATACCACTTTACTGCTCTAAATACGGAACCCACAGATTTTAGAGTCACTGTGCTATAACGCTGGACAATTTGCTCTAATATAGACAGGCTTCTGCACACCTAAACCGCAGTGGGAAATAGGCCACTCCCAACATTTATTTTGCGATTAAAATTAACTTTAGGTTTTTCCATATTCCGTTAAAAGTTGGCTATATTTTCCTCCAAATTTTGTGCTTTCCTGTTACTTGATAGGTCCCAAATTTTCACTGTTGTCTCGTATGTGATATTTGGGGACGTAAAAACAAAAGGCCGGAAAAGTTTGGGCTATCGGAATTGAAAACCTGTAGCGGTTATAGTTGAAGTATTGGGAGAGTCTTCGGGACAAATTATATTATGTAGTCTCTGTTAGTAAATGACGTTGAAGTAGACAGCTGTAGAGTGTAGAGTACAAATAACCTGCCGTACATTGCAAATTTAAACTCTAATTTTATGCTCCTTTATATAAAGTAGGTTTGAGTATTTAACTTTAAGTACTTTAGTAAGTAACCGGGAAGTTAGTTAAAACTTGCGTAATCCTTCCTTTATCACCGAACAATCGACCATTCTTGATACAGCTGTGTTTAAACCTTATCATGTGGAACACACATGATAACTGAGCATACAGTTAGTTTCAGTTACCATGCCAGTATTTAATACAGAACCAGATGGCGTATAATTATCAACATTTCCTTTTAAAGGATAACCATCCTGTGCAACCCTGCTAACCCCAACCTTGCTGTTACTGCAGTTTATTAGTGTGGGCTAATATTGTGCTTGTGTGTATATCTTGTGTGTATATCTTGTGTGTATATCTTGTGTGTATATCTAGTCATGATGACTCTTTTTCTCATTAATCTTGCAAAGAAGAACGTCTTGTATCTGTTACCTTGCATCTCCACTGCAGAATAATGGTATTGCTCTCTCTCTCTCTCTCTCTCTCTCTCTCTCTCTCTCTTGAGAGAGAGAGAGAGGAGTTAACTCGGGAGATACCTACTAGACAAATATGTATGCTCCTATCAACTTTTAAACTTCTGTAGTGTCATTTTCACTGTAAAATTTCAGCTGCCTGCCAAAAAGTAAATACCTACGCCCTAATTTATGCGCATTCCGGGGACAGCTGCATACCAGTGCTATTGCGCAACATGATGCAATAACTGCTTTAATCCTACTTTCGTGGTGTGCAAGATTTTCGTGATGTGCAAGATTTCATTGTTTGGTCAGGGAATAGATTTCCTGGTGTAATTATATTATTCTTTTGTCGACGAGAATGTGATATTGTTTTTATTCCTGCTATCATATCAATCTGTATTGTTGTGATTTACTTAACTGTGTTTATTTACTTTACTGTGTTTATTTCTGAACGTTTTGCAGTGAGTTGTATTTTCACTCCAGTTTTAAAATCATGGCCTGACTTTCGTTATAGCTTGTAACACCCGTTTCAATGTAGACAAGGATTCATTTACATCAAACCATCATTCAATTACTTAATATTTGTCAAGTCGTGTAACTGTGTAATTAAATTTCTTCTTTGACATAAACCAATAACAAACAAATTGGCTCTCACTTATCTCGCAAAATTTCGACGCTCTAAGCTGAACTAGATTAAATTTGGGTCATACACACAACAGGTGATGATTATCCACCTAAACGACTGACAGGTTACACGTAGTCTCGCTAGCAAGAGTCTACCACGATATCCTTGATAGTGGGGCCTCCACATAAACCGTGATATCAACAGCACCTAAACCAGATCCCTAGACCCTAATACCGCTATAATGTCCCCTTATTAGAATTAATACTGACCACGGATAACCAAATTACGGGGACTTCTCACTGGTAGGCCTATGGGGGTGTTACCGTACTAGCACTCACACACGGTCTAATATCAATATAATGGTACTTATCTGAAGGTTTGGGTCTAATATTCGTTTAATTACTGCACCTGCCATGATTACCATGCTGGTTGCAAATAGCGGTAACCGAACTGATGATTGTTCCTAATTCCTGATTTTCACCTACGCTTCTAAAATCTAAACAGGCCCACCTGTTTATTAAAACGTCATACTGACATGTCTAAACTACTTGTTCGGAAGTATTGTGTAGCTGTGTATTTGTACAGTTGTCTTACTCTTATTATAGTGCTTGGCAATTTATGTTACTTGATGGTAAAGGACGTTGTACTTATGCTCCTACATTACTTCTGAATATTAGTGATTTTAGCACTGTATGTTCTAAAACAGCAGTTGTTCTTTGTGTTTCTATCTGTCTGTCCCTTGCATTCTTGTGGGCTGTCAGCCCTCTATTCTGTGACGTACAAGACCGCATAACCTTAAATATGGTTAATGAACGCGGTAAAAACTTCAAGGGCGGCCGCTCAGCAACCAATATTAGATAATAAATATCGGTTATAAGAGAAAGCTGGTAGAAATGTTAATTAAATCACTTATGTGGTCTGACCACACCTCTAAAGGTTCTACCGGCTTTGTAAAGTTATGTGAGGCCTACTTCTTAGAACCAATACCATGAATATATCATATTTTCTCCGTTATTAGATTATATGTAATCTGCACGGTTCTCAATGAAAAAGAGCACGCACCACTGCCTAATCTTAATTAACGGGTCTAATTTACTAGTGTCATTAATTAACAAAAGATCCGAGTGCACGTGCAATTAATATAATACCGACATGTGGAATTACCGAAAAGAGTTCCTGCCACGTGGATGGTAATGATTTCACACAAAAGATCAGTAAAGGGTCCTTATATCCATGACCTAAAGTGGCTTGTAAATTAAACTTTTGCCGTGTTTACCGTTTATTCTTGCTGATTTGTCTTGTAACATTTTAATTATGCTCGCCTATTTAAAATACAACCTTGTTAAGGTTCCTAGGCTCTCTCAAAATGGCGTCACACTGCTCGGAACACACAATCAATTCCACTTAAACTTGAGTCCGTAATCCGTATCTTAACTCTAATTCTTAATAAGTACTCCAAGTAGACTTCAGGTCATTGCTTGCCGACTAGCCGAGTTGTGTGCAGGTTTATTAACACTGCATAAACCGCAGCTTTACCTTTTGTTCTGATCGTGTGATTATCTGCACATGCGATATGTTGCATTCTGCTTGGTGTTTATCTGAGGAATTGCAGTACCTACTGACCTTTTAAGTGACATGATATATAGTGCATTTACATATTTTGTCGGTCACAAATAGCACATAATGTGTTTTTCTATTGATATTTTCTCTCTAGTTGATCGTAAGATTGTTTAATAGTTAAAATTCTGGAATGTACATATTTCGTGCAGACTTATGAGCACAGTATTAGTCAGTGGTTTTGAATATTATGTTGTGTGGTAAAAACTTTGCCGTATTTTGTAATTACTTAATAAGATTGCGCTCCTTACTAATTATTCGGTTGACAATTTTACCATAAAATCACACGCTCCAAAGTTCCAAAAGCCATGATTTGTAAGACTGTGGTTGTTCGTTGTGAGTATGGAGTGTGGAACTTGTTAGTGTAGAGAATGTAGAGAATGTAGAGAATGTAGAGAATGTAGAGAATGATCACTTCATTATATCAATATGTATTTTAAGAACATATTCATCATAATTATTCATCATTATGATTACCGTAGCAATGACAATTAGATCAAATTTTCAAATAGGAATTTAAATGGTTTCAATTTGAAATTTGATAGCTGATTCAGGAAACGAGATTTAAACGAATGAACAACAAACCAATATGAAATACCGATTATAAATTTGAACACTATGATGTTGATAAACGGGTTAATTTTCGTTTTGTTCTATTTCTGAGTTAACAGTGTTTTACGTTCACTAAAATTTGCTGCTCTTACAGTTATCACGTCTTATTGAGGCCATTAGTTAATACGTTTTAATTAATATTAGGTAGAACAGGGTTTAATCTAATATTCTCCAACCCAAATTAAGTTGCTGCTTTTCCTTCTGATTTCTGTTGACCCTTAATATTTCCACACAAGACAAACATAATGACAGCAAAATAAGACTTGTTATTAAACGTTTGACTTGAAGGAAGATAAAGATTTCCAAAGACATTATATAACACACTAAAGTCCACATCAAGACAGGACCCCAATGTAAGAGATGTAGACCCCTCACTCCGACAAGACAGTACACCCCGGGGATGGTTCTCATGGACTCAGGATGGCGCGTGTTATCAGTTTCTTATCTCCTGGTCTTATCATTGGTGGTCGGTGACATATCGGATGTTGACCCTGAGCGGTATACACTCATGTTCTCTGTGTATCCCGAGACTGGTGTTTTCACAGGTAACTAGATGCTTTACGGAGGGTGAATTAATGTCAAGTCCTGGTGTGACTGCAATTGTGCACATAAAACTTAGATTTTATTCCCAGCAATTTATCACGATTACAGTGGTCCCCGACTTATACGAGTCAAGTATTTAAGCGACCTGCAGTGATTTAACTATAGTTAAATATAGTTCAAATATATTGAACTACTTATAATGTTAAGACTTACTCCAAGACCCACATTTCAATATCTTCAAAATCCTACCTGTTTAAAAAGTTTTTAAAAAGCTTACTCTACTCCTTCTGCAGGAAGCACGGACATCCAGTTCTCGCTGCTGACGGACACGAGGGAACTGACTCTCAACAGTAAGGATCTGAATATTGTCAGAGCTCTGATATACAAGGTAAATACACGTCTTTTATTAATATGTCACGTGTCAAAGAAATCAAACAAACCAACGTTTCATATCGTCACGGGCATTTCTAATGACATTAAACCTGTCTCGACATAATAGGACTAGTCATAAAATGTATAAATTTGTTTGACTGTGACGTTAACAATACGTCTTTCAGGGCAAAGAGAGGGAAAACATACCGGTGATATACACTCTGAACGACAAAGAAGAGTTAGTGTTAACAAGAACAGACGAGAAAAGATTTAGGAGTGATTCCTATTTTCTGAGAATGCAATACAGGGCTGAACTGAAACGGGAGGTTTGTAGGTTTTATCATACTTTTTAAATTATCTAAAGGGGATACACAAAACATAATATGAGTTGAAGTAAAGAAAATGTAACAAATATTTCTAGTATGTCAATTGCAATCTCGGAATCTAATTTCACAAAACTTTCCGGCTGAACCCGGAAATCAAGAAATAGGAATATCAACTTATCAGAGTTGAAAAATACGTGAGACAATTTTTTAAATACGCCGTATTTTGCGTATTTTTGCTTAGAAATAAAATACGTCAAAAATACGTTAAAATACGTTTTTCTTGAAATTTCATTCAAAGACTAAAGTTATGTCATTCGTTTCAGACACATTTCTATTTAACTTCAACGCTTTAATGCTTTGGTATAGCACGTGCCCAGTACTCTGAAGTCATATGCGAGGTGAAAAACGACAGAGCTACGCGAGTTTTGATAAAATCGTAAATTTATATAAAGCAATAGTACTTATTACTTTATTGGAGCTATCAATGGTACAATAACACTTTTTACGTATTTTATTCAACGAAAATAAAATACGCCGTATTTAACGTATTTTTGATATTTTATAAAATTCGTAAAATACGTATTTTTCAACTCTGCAACTTATCAACTGAATGCCAACCCGAGAATATCAATAAGCTCATTAATAAAACATAGCTTTAGCTTCATCGTAGATAGTGCGTGAAAGTCGTTTGATGTATCACATCATTATCAATACAAGGAGGGACGCGCAATCATTTAAATCTTATTGGTTCACCGAACAGTCACGTGATTTCTTCTGTGCCATGATTGGTTTATTCAATGAAACTGTTTGAAAACGCGCGCGTGTGGAAACTGGAATGTATTTACAATTTACATATCATAACCAGACAACATATAGTGATCCTACACACATTTTCACTCTGTTGCTGTATAGTTTCCGTTACTCTTGCCTGATGTAGCGTTAGGTGATTGATAAAGAGCACTCCTGATTCGGAAGTTCGATTGAGATTTAATTACAAAAAATTAAAGGCAAAATGTTAGCAATTATCAGGCATTATACTAACCATGTAATCAATGTCCCATGTCTCTCAGCTGAACGGGATATATCTGACAGAATACAAGACAGAGGACGGTGAAGTACACCCTATAGTAGCTACACACTTTGAACCAACCCACGCAAGGAAGGCCTTCCCCTGCTTCGACCAACCCCAGCTGAAATCTGAGTGAGTCATGTATTTTTATATATATATATAATATGTTACATGGCGAGATGTGCACCGGATATATGAAGGAGAATTTTACGATACTGATTAAGTGGGTTTCAATACTGATTATTCAGCTGAAGACCTTGTGATACGACATTTGTAAGCCCGAAATTAATTTCAAATTTAACCCAAATTAAACTAAAACTTCCACGAGAATAAGTCGAAGTTTGTGTTCTTTAAATGATGCGCCTTGAAGGGCTATTAGTGCTATTAGGTCGTTGACGTTCTCTCTGCGTCAGGTTCACGGTAATGGTGGACCACCCTACGAAGTTCAGAGTAATATCGAACATGCCGAAGAGTAACGACAGAGTTGTCAGGAGTGCGACTATCCGATCAGAATTCCTACCTACCCCAGCTATGAGGTACAGGGTGTGGGCCAAGTTATGAGGCGCAGGAATTTTAAGAATCTTAATGAATAATTTATTGATCAATTAACTTTTAAGTGAACTTAGGGGGCACTCTCAAACTGTTGACAATATAATACGATTTTAAGGCGTTACTCGGTAGTGCTCCTCAATCAATAATTGTATGATCCAGAAAAAATAAATGTCTATCGTTTTTAACAAAAACGTGCGGCCTAAAATGAACTTATTTCGTGACTTCCGATGTTTTGTTCAATATTTTCCCATGTTTAGTTAAGGTTGTGTAATAAAAAAAATTAACAAGAAACTTACTGATCATACGAACAAACTCAATATTTAGTTAAGGAAGGGAAACAAATAGTTAATTTATCAAAACATTCCATGATTGTTTAACCACCGTGGGAAGATTTACTGGGAGATGTGGAATGTAACATCAATAGTTAAGTATTAATAGTTCAATTTCTTTGACCAATCTGGGTGGACAAAAATCTTCCGGAATTCCCCATTTCGCGCCGCTAAGCGCATTGGTTCTCAAACCGCAGTGGATTCATAATGGCGTCATTTGGAATCCATCAGCGAAACCAATGGATCCAATGGTGGCTTTTAGGTCGCTGGTTGTTGAATTGTTATAAGACCTTTGCCTCTCAGCACGTATTTGGTGGCGTTTGTGATGTCTGATTTGGAGGAAACGACCGTCAGGACGAACAGAGGAGTTGCAATAAGTGTTTACAACAGACCTGGCAAGAGACAAGCAACTAAAACTGGCATCGAAACTGTCAGGCAGGTTAGGATATAACATTATAACATGTGATATCGCGTGATTTTGTGTATTGTGGTGTATAACTTCACTTTATTTTGTCTGTGATAGCATGTTTGTTAAACCATCAACTATTCTAACTGATAAGCAGATTCGAATAAACAACCATTAAAACGAACAAGCAGTCAAAAACTATAAAAGTATAACCGAATCGCTGTTATGATCAGTTCGATGAATCTGATCCACGAATAAGATGGTGAATATTTTCGCAAATCAGATTTGATTGATCTACACGTGTGGTTTAATTTACTGAAATCTGATGAATTGACTGGATCGTTAAACTTTTTCAAACATGCTATCAGGGCTTACTTCAACAAATGTCCATAAACAAACACTCAGCTAAATTTACAGTCCATCAGAGCCACTAAACTACAAACACACAACAAACAGTCGAGTAGCTCATTAAAAATCAGGCCCACTACAAACACATAACCTACTCAAAGTCATAAAAACACGACCGTTACGGAACACACGGATATAAGGGTGCGAGTCTAACCCACAAAAATGTTAAACAATCGTCTACCAGAGACAAATCTACCGCATTTGTCGAGGGGGGAATCTGTGGAGGTTAGCTGGAGCCAGGTCGACGGTTACCAGAAAATACGCCTGGAATCTAAAAAGCATATTTAGCAAGGGGGAGCTTGGTGAAATCGGTAGGCGCTGTGGAGTGGTTGGGGATTACCGATTAAGGTATTAGCGGAAGTGTCCCAGATCTAAACTCTCCCTCATTGCAGGACCCAGCGACCGCGGCTCATTATTTCTAATTTAAATTCCAGGGAACAATTTGGAGAGCACCATTCGCTGCTTGGTGTAGTGAGTTTTGCGGGAACTTGCTCGAACTCCATCTACATATTATCCATATTTTACTTCGGTTTTCCTACGGTTACTATGGTAGTAGTTACGGGATAATTACAGGATTTCCTAATGATCTTACGAGGCCAACAGTGGCTGAAAAAATAGTTGATCATCGTGTATCCTAGTACTACGGGATCATGTTCTCGACACCCACGCTTATTGTTTGATGACGTCACACCACATAAAGTGACGTCACACCACATAAAGTGACGTCACACCACATGAGGTGACGTCTCACCACGTGAAGTTACGTCACACCACATGAGGTGACGTCACACCACATGAGGTGACGTCACAACACGTGACTTGTTTCCCCGCAGTCCGTGGAGTTTTTCGAGAATTACCTGGGCCGTGTGTTCCCACTCCCCAAGCTGGATGTGGTGCCGCTGCCTGACTTTGCTATTGGTGGGATGGAGAACTGGGGTTTGATAACGATCAGGGAGGACATGTTCTACACAGATAATGATACTCCCCCTGAATCAATCATCCTTACCAGGTCTGCAGGGTTTATTATTAATGATAATTATTCACGTATTGTTATTTAATAAATCGTTGAATCTTGAAGACGTTTTATATATTCACGTATGACCAGCGAATACACACCACGAATCTTATCTATATTTTTTGCTAATCATGGTTAACTCTGTACCCCATAAACAGGGCTATTCTAGCACACGAGGTAGCACACATGTGGTTTGGAGATCTGGTCTCTATAACTTCATGGAATAACCTGTGGTTGAAAGAAGGGGCTGCGAACATGCTTATGTACCCAGCGATTGAGCAGCTCATTACCAAGGTAACTTATAGTTTATAGTTTATATTATTTATAGTAACTTTTGGTAACCTATGTAACGGCAATGATAAGTAATAATGGTAACGGACAGTAACCTAAGTAACATTAAACAGTCAACACCAAAGATGACAGTATGACTATGCTATGACTTGAGTTATGAAATCTAAGGAAAACTCGAGTCTGAATTGGTCACCTCGCTTGATCACAAATGTCAACAACATCTACAAAGACACCAATATGTATAAAGACGCCGGCAACAAGAAAACAAACAAGAATTTCTAGGGAATGAAGCAAGAAATTGTAGATTTTAGCTGAAGATTTGAGATGCTGCCAAGTGGTCCAGCTTTAAAAGCGGGCCACTTCTTAACTTAGAGGTCTTTAACTCTAATGCAGTAAAGCGCTTGGAAACGTCAGTCAACACGTCTTCGGCAGTAAACGAGCTAACAAGTTTGCCCAACTCAACTTCATGTTAGATTTTTATTAACTAACTAACACCCTGACCATGCAATTGCCGTGTCTCCTAAATATCTTCATGTTTTATAACCTACCGTGTTCTAGAAGTAGAACTGTCCGATTTAAGATTTGCCGCGGAACTTGTTTTTGTCGCCAAGCATCTCGACGTTAATTTTTAATTCTAAGAGCAAAAATGTTGGTCAATAAACGTGTTTTCTGGTCTACGTGGGTCGTGCCTACAATTGTTTTAATGTAAACTTTTAGATATGAGCTGGTAATACCTTGAATTCAAAAATGTGTAATCATTTTCAAAGTATACAAATTTTAAAAAGCCACGTTTTCAGAACACCCACGCGACAGTGTCGGATATAAAGAACTCTCTGCTACAAGTATCCAGATACCCGGCTCTAGACTACGATAGTGTCGTCAACACTCACCCCGTTGCCATGAACATTTCTGATCCTGCCGAGGCTGCTGCTGCCTTCGATGCTATCAGCTATTCAAAATCAGCCGCTCTTCTCGATATGCTTAGGTAACTATAACTAATTAATAATTATCACAGTAACGATCAGTATTCACTTACTGAGGCGACAATTCGTAAATAAGACGATGGTAAGCAAATTAACAATTAGGTAGGACGTTAGATGTGATCCTGATTTTTATCTAGATCAGCAATAGGAGACGACCGATTCAGAGCGGGGGTCGGTAAATACGTCAGAGAGTTTCAATATGGATCAGCTAGCTTAGAGGACTTTCTGAAAACCATGGACACTACAGGTAGCTAACAAGTGTAAGCTGCTATATGACGTCAAAAATTACTGAAATTACGTCACAAAATGCGTTATGAGGTGTGATAGTTTATTATATTTAACTTGTGCAATGTCCAGGACCCGTTTACAGAAACGTGAAGATCTCAGATTTTATGCGATCGTGGCTGACGAAGACAGGATATCCTGTAGTGAGCGTGACAAAACTGAACAATCGTAAATACAGACTTTCTCAGTATCGATTTATCAACAAACCTAACTTTAAAGATAACAAGACAGTCATGAAAAGGTGGCCGGTAAGCAAGATTAAGTTATATGTGGTAATGCAATGTTATTAAAAAGTGAGTGATGATACAACTGAAGTTAAACTGGGACGATAACTAAATTTTGGGGGATCTGGAGAAACAGCTCACAAACACTCAACCTACAAAGCCAGTGTAGAAGTTGTCGACTTAAATAAATTTAGCATATTACACCAACAATTAACCTCAAATGAATTATGAAAACAAAATGGCGTGCAAGCTCTGCAATATATCATATAGGGTATATATATATCATAGGGTATAAATCAAGAGGCTTGCATATAATGAACATATTGACACGGGTGCAGAGTTGAGTCTGTACGGAACCTAGTAGTTTCAGATCCTTGTTTAACTTGCCGTACAGCAAGGTCATCCACTACTTTAGCCCGGCGAGGCACATAACTCCCTCTACAACTCCATATCAAATGTTTCATATATACTAGCCAAGTATATGATATATAATATATACCCATGATATGATGTATGACATTGAAAAACACGTAAGGAAGTCGGAAGAATGTAGAATTTGTTACATTAGTTTAGTGACAATGATTGAAAACCACAACCGTTCTCAATGCATGGCATCAAAAGCCATTTGAAGCAGTAGAATTTGCTACATTATTCTACCGCAATTATTACGAACCACAAATCGTACTCAATCATGCATGACATTGAAAACCATGTATTGAGGGACGGACTTGCCAAATCATTTTATGATAATGACTTATCACCACCAGCCGTACTCATGAATGCATGACGTTGAAAACCATGTGTGGATATAGAATTTGCTACATTATTCTAACACAATTATTAAAAACCACAAACCGTGTACGTGGTAGAGATTTTCTAAATGAAAACCACAAACCGTACTCTGATTGTTTGGAGTTGAAAGAGTCAAGATACTAAACAAATGCACGTGATCAATGCATGGTCTGACCTCTACAAAGAAATCTTATTCCTTCAAGAATATATCACTTATAAACCCGCAGGTAATGATAACATTACGAACGGAGCGAAGGAAAGTTTACAAGTTTATGATGAATGGTGGGACGAAGATAGTATCGTTTAACTACGATCCAGGTTTCATAAAGCTCAACATCAACTCCACCATGTTCATCAGGGTCAACTACGATCTTCAATCTATTACGTGAGTTGAAGTTTTACGTCACATAACTCTTAATTATACTAGTTATATAGTTAGAAATATATTTAATTCCGATGTTTCAGTAGTTGATTTTATTCTCTGTGAATTTAAAGATGCCTTAGAAGTTCATAGTCAATAGTCAATAGTCATAGTACGTGAAAAAAACGTTACCATTTGCATAGGGAGACAAAATGTCGATTGTCGACAACAAAATTATGCCGATCAGGAATTGCTTTAAATCAAAATGGCACATATTGTCTAGTGAGCAACTTAATATTGGCTAGACTCTTAATAAATAATAATAATAACTTGTCGCAATATAATTGAGATATCTTAAAAACTTGTCATTATGATTGAGATATCCTAAAAGTTGGACACTATTTCTCTACGTTTTACCAAATAAGCAGTGCAAGCGCCCCTTTATAATCTTCCCTGCAATAACCAGAGGTATAGCGGAGCAGCTAGAGGCGGATCATGAGAGATATTTCACAGAGGACGACAGGGCAGGATTGGTATCAGACGTTATTACCATGGCAACGGTTAACAAGTGTCCAATGAGTTACGCTATGAACATGATCAGGTACGTGTAAAATTATGAGTATTATGAGCATCAGTTCTAACTCTCAGTTCTCTGCACAGGTACTCGTCTGCAAGTTAGGATCCCGTAAATTTCTCCGTTTAGGCCGTCAAAAGTAATTGTCCTGATTGAGCGGTGACAGTGCTACCTATTACCGTCTATTTCAAATAGTCTACTATGGACTTGTAATGCAAAGCATATACATGTGCTTTGCACGATATCATTACTCAGCTATCCTGTTCAGATATCTACCAAAAGAAACGTCCTATATGGTGTGGGACCAGGCGCTCTCCAAAATCAGCTCTATCGCTGAAAGTCTCTCAAACCGAACCAAACCTTTATTTAATACGTGGGTATACTGTTTAGATGTTTAGATGTAGTGGGCAACTTTTGTAAAAAATTTGCTGAACAAATAGGCCGTACTGTGAAATCAAAGAATTCGGTAAATTCGTCTTGATGCAAACCTGATTTTATTTCAGTTACATGAAAGACCTGATAACCAAAGCATCAGTACTGAAACAGACGGACTCCATAAGCAGTGGTCTACTGTCCAACCTGTTGTCTTACTACGGTGTTGTCTACCGAATCCCTGAAGCCGTTCAGGTAAGGGAAACACGACCTATGACGATCACGTCACGCCATATCACGTGACGTTATATTATGTGACGTCATATTAATATTATGTGACGTAATATCACGTGACGTCATATCACGTGATATCATATCATGTGACGTAATATTACGTGACGTCATATTTCCTGACGTCATATTACATAACGTCCCATCACTTAATTTCTTTCCACATTGCACAATATGAATTCGATGTGCACTGTCCTGACTTTTATTTGATATCGCTACAGAGACGTATCCAGACCGCTAAGGACTTGTTGTCCGTTTCCCCCAGTACCACTACGCCTACCGCCACATCATATCAGGGCGAGGACGAGGTGGTCTATGTTGTATAGTGAAAATATTTGCTGCATGTTGCACCGCACTGTTCGATCCAATAGCATGGTACTTTAGCACATTTTTAAGAGACACCACTGAATCCTCACTTAGTACCAATACCACCTATCTAGTACCTACCTGTCACCTATGTTGAGATTCGTTTTGCTTTAAAGGTTTAACAGGGTCATCACAGAGAGGAGATCTCTTTGTGATTCTTCCAGCTAAGCAGGGATTTTTGAGTTCTGAGGAGTGTAGCTCCTGATAAGAGTTGTATCAGGAAGAGATATCATGAACTGGATGAACTGCGATTTGAAATGCACTCCCGGTTGCGATGCAATTCAGATGGTATCAGATGGTATCAGGCATTGCATTCCACAATAGCTGGCGTTAGCTGACGTTGAAAGAAATAGACAAGTCAGCCGTGATGTTTTGTAGCCGCAGTCGCCCCAAGATAAATAAGCTTGCATAATTACGATTGCTGGTAGTCATGCTACACATGAAAACGACGTATCTCGAGGCTCGAGTTAGGCGACCCGCTTGAGTCACAAGCTAGTCGTCTCGAGATACATCGTTTTTATGTGTAGCATGACTACAATCAATCCCATGCTCCTAATTATGACTATACGTGCTTCCAGAAGTTAACATCTCCTAATTATTCAGAGAGCAGATGAAGAATTCGCAACGTGGGAAAAAGACACTAGTTACCAGGCAACGTCCATTTCATTAAACAAAGAGGCTTGGAGCAACCAAGTACACTGAGTGTTCAGTCGTCTCTTGATTCTTCATGCCTGAAAAATACTTGTCTGCATTGTCTATGAATTATTTTAATTTCTTGTTTTCCTCTGCTGCATGCATTATCAATGAATTATTTTAATCTTTTTAATTGGTTTTATGTTTTTTAATTTTGCCTTTCAATTCTTTTTAATTATTTTTAAAAACGCATTTAATCAATCCACTTACTTACAATGCTATTTACAATGCTTTATGCAATCACAGTTAATGCGATTCTTATATCTACATTCTGCATGTACACGTCCACTTCCGTCCTTGATTCTATAAAATGTTTCCTACAGGTAACCTCAGCTGTTCTAACTTACGGAGTAGCAGAACTAGGAAAAGAGGAAAAGTTGTGGGAGAAGCTGGAAAGTACGTCATATCCACACAATCAGGAGTACTACAGGAGTTTGAGTGCGACAAAGAACCCTGAAACTGTGACTAGACTATTGGAGGGTTTGTTTAATATAGTCTGTTAAGTTTTTGATGCACTGTGAACTGTCATAAGACTGATAATCAGAGAATGTTTCGCACTCAGTATTAGTCTTTTAAAGATTAAAAACTGGTTCTGTGCGTTAACGAAGATCTAACCCAAGGATCACTGAAGTACGACTGGGTGCCCCTGCAAAATAAATACGACATTCTTAATTCAGTTTCCGGTTATCATCCCGCCGCAGCTTTCAAATTCCTCAAGGTACGTATATGAAGTAACTAAATACTTTTAAAACAATATTAATGATTTGAGTTTATGATTTATAAAATAAATCACTTGGTAGTTATATCATCAATCCCTAATTGGTTTTAACTTTTAAAGATCTGAAATTCAGGAAAACTACGACACATTTTACGAGTTGTACGGAGAAACGCAGTTTAATTTCGGGAACATTCTGCATACAGTGGTGGGAAACCTCAAAACAAGACAGGATCTTGAGGAGGCAACCACTTTCTTAGAGTCACAAAAATTGGGTTAGTTTACATGAATTCTTTATCAAATTAAACGCCTGCCTTCATGTTCGTGATTCTGATTCAGTGATGTAGATTCAGTGACTCCTATTATGAATGTAGTCCTGGTCCTGGTCCTGGTCCTGGTCCTGGTCCTGGTCCTGGTCCTGGTCCTGGTCCTGGTCCTGGTCCTGGTCCTGGTCCTGGTCCTGGTCCTGGTCCTGGTCCTGGTCCTGGTCCTGGTCCTGGTCCTGGTCCTGGTCCTGGTCCTGGTCCTGGTCCTGGTCCTGGTCCTGGTCCTGGTCCTGGTCCTGGTCCTGGTCCTGGTCCTGGTCCTGGTCCTGGTCCTGGTCCTGGTCCTGGTCCTGGTCCTGGTCCTGGTCCTGGTCCTGGTCCTGGTCATATTTTGATTTGAATTACAATTATTCTAGTTTAAGTTTTGTTTTTATTAGTTTTAGAAATTATCAAACTTACAGGGACAGGGGAAAGAGCATTTAGAATAGCAGTGGATGAGGTAAGTAGTGTGCTGGACTGGAGAGATTGTTGCGAGGAAGATCTGAGAGACTATCTGTTAGCCCATCCTACCTCCAACTGATAGAGTCACACAAGTCACCATGGTAAATGTGATAGTTACCATCGTTACAGCATTTCTACCCCTCAATAATCCCTTTCAGAGTATGGAAACAGAAAAATAATCCAATTTGTTGTTCAAAGCGGGGAATCCTAAAATGTCCGATATGTCATGTCAAATTAAGCAGATAAGAAGATGTTTAGATCCCCTATCAGAACTATCTCCCATTTACAGAGACTCGGAGAGTTGAATCATGATCAATGGACCATAGTCTCCTCTAAAAAACCTTGAAACTAACCTAAAGGCTAGGCTTCTGGAGTACAGATTCCTTCATTTTGACAAAGTTCATTTTAACCTTTCATACTATCAAAACTCTAAAATCCACTATTTATCACTCTTACTTACCATTTTTACTGTTTTATACGTTTGGAATTCATTCAGATTTGAATCTTAAATAGTCAGTGATTTTAGTCGACAGTAGGTTTTTAATCTTTTCACAGATTGACCAATAAATCAGCGAATAATGATAATTGTATGTAAAATTGTTTTACAATTTCGTGATCAAAATTAAGTCCTATTTTTTTCTTATCATATGCAGCAGTAGATTTATTATAAAAAATAAATACCAAATTTTAAATCAACCTCAGAATCAAAAATGTGATGCATTTACAATTCACATAAAAACTTGTAACTATGAAACAACCAGATAATTATATCAATCAGAAAGTCACGAATTGTCACAATAAAATCACATTCAAACATAATTTCTCTAAAAAATAAAGCTTGAGATGTACATAAATTTTGGGTTGAAACTAATACCCGTTCCTAATGTCTAGTAGCAGGCTGCAGCGCACGAATATCGGGTAACACAAAAGGATTCCAAAAGAGCGAGACAGCTGGTTACTGTTAGAAAACTAATAAATAATACCCGTTTTGGGCGGAAAGGATTGTGTCTGTTTGGGGTTATAGAAACCGGTGGCACACTTTTACAACATCTCAAAAAAGTGAAAGAAACAAATTTGTACATGCATTGTAAAACAAGCATAGTCTTAGCAAAGTTGTATGATTACATCGCCTTGCCAGCCCCTTGATTGGGCAAAAAGTACATAAAAGAAATGGATGATCAATGATGCAGCTTGTTAACGCTGCCCTCAAAGTCCACTTTCCAACCTCAACTTGTAATTGACATTGAAGCACTTACGTCTTGGTTACGGACTTTATGGAACTATTTGAATTAGCAGTAGGGTTCTCGTACGCAACACCACCGTGCATGACTTTATCTTGTCCCTTGTTCTCCTCAATATTGTTTATACGCAACAGTCGCAGCATCTGAAAATGATTGATGATGGGTTTATAAGGATCCTTTTTCAGTCCTTCTCACCCTTCCCTTACCCCCTCCTCCTAAACCTTTTCCAAACTCATTAGTTTGAAATCATGATTTATAATTCTAGCAAATATGTTAATATGTTTCCTGATGTTATCTGATTAGGAAAAGTTAAGTTATATAAATATAGATAATGAGAATAATATGGAGCTAACATCTGCCCAAAATCTAAATTGCAGCAGAGCAGACTATTACTATTAGTATTAACAATGCACATTGCACGTGGATTGATTATTTGCCTCGAATACTTCTAGAATATGGATCTGCTAACTGGTTGCTACACGTTGTATACCTCTTATCTTAGAAAAGGGGTTTACAACGTGTATCAAGGATCTGCTGCTTATAATTACACCAAGATCTGCCCCTTAATCGGGCAAACCACCTTGCAGGGAACGTTTAACCCCCAGAATTGCTAGTAAACAGCCCTCGCAAAGGCTATAGCGACGTGTTTAATTTGTAATTCTGAATTCTGATGTACTGTAAAACAAATTTGTGAAGAAAGTTACACTGACTGATTAATAGTTCACGCAATCATCTTACCTTGAGAACGAAGAACATTGGGGCGGCGATGGCAGAGACGTAGCTAATGGCGGCAATGAGGAACACCAAGTTAGCACCAAGGAGTTTTCCACCTTTTGCTCCCTACAATATACAGTTAATATAATTATAAACCAATTTGTATGGCAACATGACCCTACCATCCTGTCGACTACCCACTATAGGTATAACTAGTGGCAAAACGTGCGTATGTACCTAACAACGAGAAACTGTTTAGTGATTATTGTAAAAGATGGTCTTATGTAATATGTAGTCTCTAACCTAATCACAGAAATAAATAAAAAATGAAGATGTGCAAAAGCTTCTTTCAACTTACATCGTAAAACACCCCGTATCCGTTGTCAACATTAGTGATTTTACTGAAAGAGTCACGAAACGTTATGGGATGACAAAAGAATGTTGTTGCTATGGCTCCCCAAATACCACAACCAAGATGAACAGGACTGGCATCTACCACGTCATCTATCTTCAAGTTTACCAGTAACTGAGGAGATAAAGTTATGTACAACTTGCAAAAGCCGTCAAAAATCCCCACTGCAGTATTTGAAATCATTAATGAGTATCAGTATCAGTATCATTGACGCGGTATAATATTAATAACAATATGATTATGACTCAGACTTGCAAATTACAATTTTATTGTATTTCGCGTGAACAGTAATGATTTGTTAGTATGAAATAACCTGATATATTCTGAATTAATGATTAATCAAGTAACATAGATGATAAATACACATCCAGAAAGCATATCTAAAACCTTTGAGCCGAAGTAGTAAACGTGAGCTCCAATAACTCCGATGATAAAGGCACCGTAAGGCTCCACCACTGCACACCCTGAGATAAGAGATAAGAGATGTAATTTATAAAAACTATATAAATGTGATACTGCATTTCACGGTTCGACATGATTGACAATTTAATTCAATATCTACAGCGTGAATTAGAGTTAGAGAACGGTTGTTAACCTCCTGTGATACTGACGAGCCCTGCTAATATCCCGTTACAAACGACTGCCGGATCAAACCTGGAAATATCAGGATTAGAATAGGACAATCCGAAAGTTTTATTGTAAAATCCATGTCCATACCAAACCATGTCCAAACCAAGTTTTGCCGTCAAACCTTCTTATTGCTGTAAGTCAGCTCAGTGATACCAAGAAATATATTCAATGAGTCGCACAAAAGAAATATCTGCACAGAAAAAATACCTGCAATTATCAACCAGCCGAAAACATAGATGGCCGCCAGTTTAGCAACTTTGAGACCTTCTAACTGCTAACAGAGTAAATAAATTCAAACAATCGAACCAACGAACCTTCTATCCAGGAAGAAGTTGAGAAGGATAGTTGTAGTTCCAGAGGAGGAAGCTGAGAGAGTGGTAGCTACTCCGATCTTTGCAGCAGAGTTGGACAGGTTCTCGCCTAGACCCATCGTGGAGCCACAATTAAACCCGTACCAACCGAACCAGAGTAGCAGTGTTCCTGTAAATTAATATCGGTTTTACAGAGCGGAGTCCTCTCATCTTGTTACTATTATAATATATACATGGACTCAATAACAACGTCCAATGCACTGCAAATCGTCCAATATATTTACAGCTGACTCTAGAGTTCAAAAGAGGGGCTTGCAAAGCCAACGTGATCATAAAATCACTCACCTAAAACCTGGAAGACAGCATTCTGCTTGACGATCTTGCTATTCTTCACGAACCTGCCCTGTCTAGGACCGACGAGAATACTTCCAATAAGAGCACAAGTCCCTCCCACCACGTGTACCACCACACCCCCTGCGAAGTCTATAGCTCCAACACCAAATAGGGGGTTAGGGTTGTATGGGCTGGCCCACCCTTCATCCGTCCAGATCGAATGAGCTACCGGCGGGTAGATTACTGTCACAAGGAAGAATGTGTAAACCAGATATGCAAATAGTTGGGTCCTCTCTGCTACAGCTCCTGAAGGCGAAAAGGAATTAGTTTAATTTATCTTGTCTTAATGTTGTCTTATTGTTGCCTTAATGTTTGCTTTAATGTTGCCTTAAAGTCGCCTTTATTGGTGTTTGTTGCGTTAACGTTGTCCTAATGTTGTCTTATTGTTGTCTTAATGTTGTATTATTGTTGTCTTATTGTTGTCTTAATGTTGTCTTAATGTCCCATCGGTGTTTGTTCAAGTGGCCAATTTAAGTGCATCTGATTGCCATTTAGTACAGACAGATCCGTCTAAAAAATCGATCTGCTGACACTCAAAGCTTTCAGAGGTTTTTTGACGTTTTTGAGTCCCATTAGGTGCCCTTTATGGCTGACCAACTTTTCCAAACTTTTCCACTTGTCTTAAGGCCACTTTTTGCCACTTTACCACTTTTTACCACCTTTTTTGTTTGTCGAATATCTTTAGTTGTGAACATCGTAAAAGGTTGCGGATTAATCGAGTGTGTTCATATTATCAGGAAGAAAAACTTCCTGTTCAAACAATTTTTACGTCAGATAATAAGTTAGTTGGATAATTATCAATCAACTAATTAGCAAAATTCTAAAAAATTTTTATTGGCTAAAAATGATTGGAATAGCTTAAAACACGGAGAAAAGTAGTTTTTAGAAAAAATTTTAAAATTTTTCACTTACATTTTTTTTCGAGACTTAGAAAAAATTTCGAAAATTAAAAAAAATTTTCCGCCAAAAGTGATCAAATCGCATGAAACACGGATAAAAATGCCTTTCTAAAAAACGTAGTGAATTTTTCGTTTCAAGAATACTTAAATCGCCAATATTTGTAGTTGGAGTTCAGTAAATCTCGGCAGATTTTAGTAATCAGGAATTAGTATTACTAAGTGAAGAGGTCTGAAACTGAAAAACGTTAACCATACGATCGCGCGGCGATATAAGAGTTTCATAAACTAATTTTCACAGAAACTGCACCAATGGCACAGTCAAGATCGAAACGATAGCCTGCTGTACTGTCATTTTATTGATTTCAATGATGAATCAGTGGGGTTAAGATAATCACATTTGTAATAAAATATAAATAAAACATCTCTGTACCGTCAATTGTGCTAGTCTAAACCAGCCTACCTGTATTACCAGACCTCTTCTTTTCCTCGACAATCAAACCAAGTTGCTCATATCGCATTTGGTGGGTGATGTAAGTAGTAATACATATCGAGCTGTATTCAATCACAAAACGACACAATGCAATACGTGTATATTATATTATGGCCCTTAATGAGGTATATGAAACGTTCTATATCGTACACTTCTCGTTTCTCCCGTGAGAGGCCCAGTATGGAGAGGTTTTACAGTTTATCACGAAAACGTCTACTTGGCCTCATGGCTCAAAGAAGGCAAGAAAAGACCAGAAAGCTTTCAACTCGCTCTTTTCAATGCCCGTCCGGCGTCCATCTGTCCCACATTAATCCTGAGCTGATCATCATAGCCCCGAATATCCTACGGGAAGAACCTGTATTTTTAGCCGACCCTGACATATGGGGTTGATTTGAGGTATCCAGCATAGCAAATGAAGCGGTATGCAGAACAATACAAAACAAGTCACAGTTGATGTTGGAAGGTGTATTTACACTTGCTTTCTGGACCTGGCTGTTCCTTAGTTTCCTTGATCTGTTCTTGCCTTCTTCGAACTGTAAATGAGCCATGTAATGAGGCCAAGTATACTTTTTCGTAATAAACTTTAAAACGTCTCTATACCGGGTTTCTCATTAAGAGCCATATAATATACACGTATTGTGTCGTATTCTGATTGAATACAGCTCGTTATGTATAAGTTTCAATACCTACAACACTACTATATATAGTATGTTATATATATAGTATGTTATATATATAGTATGTTATATATATAGTATGTTATATATAACAAATAATTTGAATGACAGGATGGATTACTGAGGGCACTGCGTTAAGGTGATTTGAATGACAGGATGGATTACCGAGGGCACTGTGTTAAGGTGATTTAAGTGGGTCCCAATCCCCACCGACCATTCTTCTTTGTGTCATGAATACTTGCTTCATCGTCTCCTTTTAATAAAAATCACGGTGTCTTTATTGACTAAGCGCATTACTACTTACATCACCCACCAAATGCGATATGAGCAACTTGGTTTGATTGTCGAGGAAAAGAAGAGGTCTGGTAATACAGGTAGGCTGGTTTAGACTAGCACAATTGACGGTACAGAGATGTTTTATTTATATTTTATTACAAATGTGATTATCTTAACCCCACTGATTCATCATTGAAATCAATAAAATGACAGTACAGCAGGCTATCGTTTCGATCTTGACTGTGCCATTGGTGCAGTTTCTGTGAAAATTAGTTTATGAAACTCTTATATCGCCGCGCGATCGTATGGTTAACGTTTTTCAGTTTCAGACCTCTTCACTTAGTAATACTAATTCCTGATTACTAAAATCTGCCGAGATTTACTGAACTCCAACTACAAATATTGGCGATTTAAGTATTCTTGAAACGAAAAATTCACTACGTTTTTTAGAAAGGCATTTTTATCCGTGTTTCATGCGATTTGATCACTTTTGGCGGAAAATTTTTTTTAATTTTCGAAATTTTTTCTAAGTCTCGAAAAAAAAATGTGAGTAAAAAATTTTAAATTTTTTTCTAAAAACTACTTTTCTCCGTGTTTTAAGCTATTCCGATCATTTTTAGCCAATAAAATTTTTTTAGAATTTTGCTAATTAGTTAATTGATAATTATCCAATTAACTTATTATCTGACGTAAAAATTGTTTGAACAGGAAGTTTTTCTTCCTGATAATATGAACACACTCGATTGATCCGCAACTTTTTACGATGTTCACAACTAAAGATATTCGACAAACAAAAAAGGTGGTAAAAAGTGGTAAAGTGGCAAAAAGTGGCCTTAAGACAAGTGGAAAAGTTTGGAAAAGTTGGTCAGCCATAAAGGGCACCTAATGGGACTCAAAAACGTCAAAAAACCTCTGAAAGCTTTGAGTGTCAGCAGATCGATTTTTTTAGACGGATCTGTCTGTACTAATTATACAATTTATTTTACTTTTGGAATGAACGTATTCCATGTACTTGTGAAATACAAAAAACGGCGACATCAAAATATCCTGAAGGTGAGCCGTTTAGGGTAAAGCTTTGTAGTTTGTAATCGGCCGATTGAGCATCTTGGCCTCGTCAATCGATTACATTTACAAAGGTTAAAGTTACACCATTCAAGTTATTTATAGAATTGCTTGCTACATATTGAACGATGAGGATTACTGCACATTCAAATTTGGGAGAGAGAAAGAGTACGCTATCGCTAATAACTTGACTCGTGCCATTGACTTCAGGAAAGTAACTATATTATATATGTACAACACAGTAAGTATCCTATGAGTATCCAATGAATAAAACACGTGGATCTACTTCTAGCTCGTTGCTGTATCACATACTTGATTAGTCATTGGTTCACGCTTACAATTAGGAGGGAGTGTGTGACACATCATACTGATTGCTGATTATAATACTACATGTATTCACACTGATCACCAGACACCAATATTAGAATATTGTTTCAGAACAAATTCTTATCAATAGGATTGATGGGCAATTAAAAACGTGACAATAAGTGTTACAATAAGTGTTACAAAAATCACGCGACACTATAACTTCAATACAATAGAAGTTTGTTGTTGTAACTTAAAATAACCTGATACGATTGTAGAAGCTGTTGCACAGAACGTGTATTGAAAGGTCCACAGAGCGTATTGGTAGGGGTCCACAATTTCAGTTCCGTCTCTGTTAAATCCTGACATCAAAACGAACCCGTTGTATCCTGTAAAGTATACCTAAAATTAGACTTAATATTTCTTTCATTTAGAATCTAACAATTATAACTATAAGCTACTTATTGCTGGGAAGACGTTGCACTAAGTTGGTTTCTCTTACCTAAAAAAGCGTTGCCCTTGCCGAATGAGAAGGCCCACCCGTAGATATAGAACATAACGCTTCCCACACATGCATCCAGAAGGTTCTTTACTAGAATACTTTTTGTGTTCTTTATCCGAACAGAACCCACTTCAACCATTGTGAACCCAGCCTGTCAAAAAACTTACAGTGATAATTGATATTGTCTTTATCATAAAATTTAATTATGATCAGTTAGTAATACGTCTACCAAGCCTGGTTAGCTCAGTCGGTAGAGCATCAGACTTTTAATCTGAGGGTCACGGGTTCGAGTCCCGTATCAGGCTGTTTCACTTTTGTAAATGACCACCCCGAATATTTGTACATCATTAATCCTCGCTGAACTTAAGCTATAATTTGCAAACCCCCTCCTGAGGGTATTTTAGTGACCATGTCAATATAACACTACTATTCTTATCATATATATATATTCCAAACACAAGGAAAGATGTTGTCCTAAACTATAAATTTAAATTTATGCCCGTAATTGTATTACATGCGACCATTGCACTAACGGTCGGCAAACTACCTCAGGTAGTTGATTTAAGTCAATACTTGAATCAGCACCTCACAGTAGTAAAATACTCTGTTTTAATTAGGTCCTCATTTTACGAGGTGCTCTCTCTAACTCTAATTATCTGCCTGAGCCATGATTTACAGCATCTTTCAGGGAATCAGTGCAATTAGTTTAGTAATCGTACCCTAATAAGATTTCGGTCACTCTCAAAACAGTGCAATTAGTTTTGTAATCGCACCCCCTGGAACAAAAACCGGTGCAATTATGGAATTAATAAATGGCCGCCAAATAGGTCAAAAGTGGAGTTATAACTATAACTTTACACCTTAGTGATAACATCCGGCATATCTTCGATATTAATTGTCCTCGTCAGACCACTGTACAGTGTATAATGTACATTTCCAACCACGAATTACAACACTTCATTTCAATTATCTTCTTATCCAGTAGAATTTGGAGTACCACAAAAATTATGAGTCATTTTAAGAACATTCAATATGACCCAACATTCACAATAATTTACGGCAGCAAAACATTATTCTCAAGTGATTTAAACTTATTCTTCCATATCTATTTCAACGATGGTCAGTGGACAGCTATAGTGCTGTTATAAAAACACTTTACAAACCTGCATGATGAAGACTAAGGTGGTTGCCATCATCATCCATGAGATATTAACAGCGTTTTTGGTATGTTCCCCCGTCTCCTTTAGTTCTTTTATCTCTGATGCGTTGTAACCGATCTGGTGTCACGTGGTTTTATTATTTGTACACTTTACTTTCAACAAAGTGTTTAATGTTAAAATAAATTAGCCTCGTTCACGTATTGCGTAATTTAATGAACTTTTGGCAAATTTGTAACCCCCTCCCCATTTGGGCATTTGTAATCAGTTTTACGCATACCTAGCTATTGTGTTAAAATAACTTTAATTATAATAATAATGTAAGTCAAAGTGTAACGTAATATCAATATGTGAACGACCCCAAACAAGAAATCGTGCCGTGGAACGAAAACCTTAACCGCATTCTTATAAATATATACCATATCTGCGATCTGTTTCCAGGTAACGTCAGCAGTTTCTCCGTTAACTTGCAGTGTTAAACCGTCAAAAGTTTCCGCCATTGTTTCCGATAATTCTTCCAAACTAGGACACGTTGTAGCAGTTCAAAGTTTCGGGGCCATCCAAATCCTTTTTTTGTTTGTATAGCTCGCGGAGCCTGGAGGCGGAGCCGTTTTGTTTTAAGAAACAACGGGTTTAGCGAAAATTCCGGGTATGCGAGTCTGCTTACATAGCTAAAAGAACTAGAAGTAATTTATTTATTAAATATTTGAACAAAGGTAGAGCACAAAAGGTCATCAGCTCATTAGCTGGTATTCTAAAACAAAATCAAACGATTTGTTCGCATAATTATTTATTTGTAACTGATCCTACTCCTACTCTTGGATTAAAAATTTGTGCAGTAGAAATGTATCTGCACAGACAAAATTCCTAACTCGGCAATAAGCTGAAAAATGTTCAAAACGTTTGTGTTTACATTGACGTGCACAATATTCATTATCAAATGAATATACCAATGTTATTTGGGTCCTAGGTATTTTAAATTGGATTGCAAGAAAACACTTAAATTATAGAACCACGTGAAAACACTCAAATTATCGATTACTGGGCCGCACTCAGCCTGTCATTCCGCCGAATCTCTATTTTATGATTATGAACATAAATGATAAAGTGATAAATATAATTATATTTATAATAGCCTGAGGTAAATTATCGACAGCCACAATGCAATTTGAAAATGTTTAGGGATTCAATAACGTAACTTTCCTGCCGAACATATACAGAAAATAACATACACATAACAGAAAAAACATCTTTAACTTAATTTAGTAAAAAGAGGTTGTCAGCATGTACATGATAATTATATATAAGTTATGATTTCGAAAGTTCTAAAATCTTCCCGGGAGGAATGTGATGACTGAGAATGGACCCAGTATAACCGAGGCCCTAATTGTAACTGTTAGCCCAATGTTGATTGACGATAACGATCCTTTCCACGATAATTCCTGTTCCAAGCCAGTTCGTATAGTTTTGCTACAATCTCGTCGAAGCTCGCTTGCTTGATGATGCGCGCGGCATGATAATGCGCGAGGCATCAAAGCGGTCCCCCAAACAAAATCATGTAGCGAGTATTATATACTTGATCTTTGAAACTATAACGGCCACGGTAGGTACTGATAACTATTTCTATTATCTAGCGAGGGGGACAGCTACAACTACAAGCTAGGGACGTGCTATGCAAATTATATCACAGAACTGATTTCACTTACAAAGGGAAAGTCGTCCAGCGAGGCGCATACACTCGCACCTTAACAAAATCCTGTTAATAATACTACTGGTAATTACTACCCAGTACCCATCCAAGATAAAAATCACAAAGTTAGTCATTCGCCCTCTAATCGAGGCAGTCACGTGGTCAAACAACTTTTAAAAGTAGGTATAGATCTGCAGATTTCTTTAGAAATCAGGTTTTTGCCCCACCTTGACATACTATATACTGATACATTGTCAGACGTTGCCCGACCCATCTGTATCTCGATCTCATTGATGCGTAAAAACTATACATTGTATGGTATTGGTATACAACCACATGTTTTGAATGCATGTGGAATTTGGCATTCAAAGCTTTGATGCTTAACTTTATCAAAGAAAAATTACAGTTTCTGTTAAACTAGTAAAGTCTATCAAACCACCCGGAGTTCTCCAGAATCATAAACTGAGGGATGTTATAGGTATACCCAATACCGAGAAGAGTAACAAAATTGAAATTTTAAATTATTCAGAATCGGAAATGAACAATATCTGCCGAAAGTTTAAAGTTGAATAAAGTTATTCGCCAAAGTGCAAAACGCATTAAGATTTGAGCAAGGATGATGAGTCATATCACGTGATCGAAACATTTTTCGCCAATATCTCGCCAGGGGAGCATTTTTACCCTATGTCATGGGGATTGGGGGGTGATTCAAAATCAGCGTCCGAGAATACATCACTTCGGTCTGGTTTCAACTGTCGGCCGTCGGGGACCCTTCTACATTTTAGAGAAATCTCGAAGAATTATGAATAAGATCGAGCGTAGACTTAGAGTGATTTACCACGCTCGTTTAAGCAACACGGACATTAGTATTCGAAGAGGAACACCCTCTTTGCTCTTCTCTTACTCTTAGGCCTGCGCCTAGTAGTTGTCGTTGACCATCCCGAATAAGAATATGCAAAAAAACAGTATGCGACCAATATCCTACACAACCATGAAACGATATCCATAGGAGCAGTGGGCAGTGATCTGGTTGAGATCATCCTATTGTATCAGGCAGCTTGCAACTCCCCTGTTCGGATGGAAATACTATTGTAAAGTCTAGAGACTGCAACTCTCTAATCTCTATAGACATAGTAGACAGCTGTGCAGCTGTGAGAGTGAACGAGGGCTAATTCTACAACTCGACAAGAAAGTGGGCTCCCTCTCACTCTTTGCCATAATAACTAGTGTTGTCTAGTAAGACAAAAGCGGTATGTGTGGGTGCACACTGCTCAGTGCTCACTCTCAGTACTGGCAAGTTGCCCTCATGCTACAAACAAAGGTATTGATGGTGCATGGCATGAAGTAATTGACATTTAACCACAAATCTATTTAACATTAAAAAAAAGAAGCTTAATGTCTCACAAGAGGATGATGACCACCAGTGGCCTGTGCCACCCCCTCCCTCTCGTCGGGGCCCTTCGTTACGCCACTGATGACCACTCTAAACTAGACTTTTAGAAAAACTTTGGAACTAGAACATGTATAACTGAACATTTTATCGTGTTAACTGTTACTATTACTGTTATGAGCTAGCTAAGCATACTCCTCGACTCTATACTCCGGATACAGACACCATAAGCAAAATAAGATAATGGTTTAATGATATTCAGTGAGTTACATACATTATATTTATAGAAGCGATCGGCCATTACCGAGAGATAGTACGTAAAGACGGGACCTACAATGGGATTAGGCCGAACTAGTTGCTGTATTTAACGAGGGTGAGCAATGTATTATTGTGTATTGTGTGGCAGGATTCGGCATCCGTATCACTATACGTGGTGGAGGACAATGGGGCAGTCCAAGACAAAGCATTGTCTATTATAATGGATCCAGAGAAAGTTGGCAAGGGACAAACCAAAAGAAGCACTGCGAGCCCTGATTCGGGACATGGATATACTGATTCGGAGGATTATCTGCCGAATATTGAACTCATGTCCGATCTAGATGTAGTAGTACTTATAGTAGTAGTACTAGTAGTACTTATAGGAGTAGTACTAGTAGTATTTATAGTAGTACTAGTAGTAGTACTTATAGTAGTAGTAGTACTTATAGTAGTAGTAGTAGTACTTATAGTACTAGTAGTAGTAGTCGCTTCCACTAAATCGCTCGCCAAAATTTTTTTAAATCTTGTGAAGCGGCCATGAGAGTATCAAAGTCACTTTATTCGATGTATTTTTCGACGCTGTAGTACTAGTAGTAGTAGCAGTAGTATGTAGTACTTATAACCAGTGCTACAGGCCGCGCCACCGCAACTTCCACTACCATAAACCGTGGTGGCTTGTGTCGATATTAGACTTAGCTTAGATAAAGCTTCAAATAATTATGTTTTTGTCTGCAAGAAGTTTTATCTTTTAACCCTTCTCAACGAACTTGGCTACGATCTCACTTCTCTAGAGTGTCGTGGCAATTCTACTTATCATCCGGTTAACTCTGTAGAGGATGATATTATTCAGGAACATGTGAACTTCATTAAAGATAACTTTAATATTCGTGTTTCTGAGGACAACCTTTGTCTACCGAGAATCTTTTGGATTCCTAAACTTCACAAGAATCCTTATAAGTCTAGATTTATAGCTGGGGCCAGTAAATGTACCACTAAGCAGATATCAGTTGTAGTCAACAAAGCTTTAAAAGTTTTAAAAGAATACTTTTCCAAATACTGCAACTCTATCTACAACAATACTGGAATTAACTGCGACTGGAGCATTAACAGCTCTAAACAGTTCCTGGAAAGGCTGCCTAGACTAGAGATTTTTAATATGCAGGTATACGACTTTACCACTCTGTATACCAATCTAGACCTTCAGGTTGTACAGTCACTGCTTTTCGAGCTAATAGATCTCCTCTTTAGTAATACGAATAAATTTATTTGTGTTTCTCTGTATAAGAACAACAATTTTTTCTCTAAAAAGGAATATAACGGATACTTATGTTTTTCTGCTGATAAACTCAAAACAGCTATTACATTTATTCTGTTTAACACTTTTGTTTGTTTTGGGGATCAGATTTTAAGACAAACGAAAGGCATTCCCATGGGAGGGAATTCTAGTAGCCAGTTCGCTGATCTTTCGCTAGGGAAGTGTGAATTCAACTACATGACACGCCTAATCAAAGAAAAGAAGTTCGGTCTCGCTAAGCTCCTCTCAAGAAACTGCAGATATGTCGACGACCTCAACACCATGAACTATTTGCATTTCTCTAACCTAATCAGGTCCATTTATCCACCTGACCTGCTTATGGAGAGGAGTGGTGACGACAATAAGTCCGTAAACTATCTCGACATCAACATCTCGATGAGTAACTCCGGACACGTCGCCACCAAGCTTTACAACAAACTTGATGACTTCAACTTTCCTGTGGTCATGTACACCTTTCCTAACAGTAATATTTCCTCTTCTGTTGGTTATAATGTTTTTTACGGTCAGGTCCTTCGTTACTCTTCCATTATCTCTGACCTTGATTCTTTTCTGTGTTCTACCAACACCCTTTATAGGACACTTCTTTCAAGATGTTATAATGACAGACTCCTGAAGAGTAAATTCAGAAAGCTTCTGAAAGACCGACCTAGTATTCTGTACAAATACAGTATACTTGATGTCAGCGACATCCTTGACATCACATTTAACGTGAACAGGTGATCACTGACGAGTGATTGCTAGGGGGTCTTGGCACATTAAACCGGTACAGGTATTAAACCCCCGAAACCGGTGTGCCAAGTCATCTGCTGATGATGTTCACATAACATTATTTCCTCTCTCCTTTATTCCTTCCGTCTTTTCTTAAACTTACAGTTCAGTTACTTTATTTCACCAGGTCTACCTAAGGATCAATTATTCTTTGGTGGGGTTTCACTTCTGGTATTGGCTTCATTCCCGTTCCTTTTCCTTATTCTTTATACTTATTTTTTATATAGTTTAATGAGATTTAAAACGCGATTAACTCTAGCT